ATATTTCAGTGTCCATGGGACCAGCTCTAGACATCAAGTGGAGGTTTATGTTGCCTCAGGATGCCTAGAGGAGATCTAGGTGCACCCAGAGCTAATGTAAGGAGGTTCTGGCAAGCCCAGTGAGGGGACAGAGCCCTGGGTAATGTTTCACAGGCATCCAGAGCATAGGGAAATCAGTAGACTTTTACCCCTTGCTGCTAACCAGGCAGAGGCCTAGCCTCATTTTCTCTCTACCCAGATTCTGGCAATGTACAGGATATAGACTCTGTTGGGCCCTAGCATTGGGGTAGCACATCTGGTGGTGGATGGGTACTCTCACAAGTCAGTGCACATGAGATTGGAGCTCCCTTTGGAAACCTAGTTTCCCAGGATGGGAACTAAATGTCAGACAGAGTCTCTGGCTAGTTGTTAACAGCCAGTGTTTACTACAGGAATATATTTAATGCAAGATATACAAATAGATAAGAATTTATAAGGTTGAATTACAGAGGCTACCTGCAAGGTCAGGTATGGAGAGTACAAAAAGGCCATCTATGCTTTGGAGATATGAAGGATATGATTGAAGGCCAGGAACTCACTGTAGTATCAGGAGGCTGAAGGATGTGTAAAAGAAAGCTGAAGAGTCTGTGCTAGAAGATAGAAGAGGGTGTCCAAAGTGAAAGTGAAGACAGGATTTCCTCTGAAGAAATGGAAGTGGGCCTTTCTTCTTCTTTTCCTTCTATGCCATTCAGACAATGAGCTTAAGTAGGGTGGGCCATCTGCCTTCAGTAAAACCCTTCATCCACACCCAAATTATGCTTATACAGTTTACTTGGGTGTTTCTTACTCAAATTGACACAATGAGCTAACTATCACACTGGTCTAGGCGTGATGGCCAGACCATATGACCTGGGGGTGGTTCTCTGCGTATAGACTCAAACCAGAGCAGTATTAACACTGTGTGCTAAATGAATATTCTAGTTGATGTGGAACAAACTGGAGACGCTTGGCAATGACTTGGACATGCCTAGGGTCCAATATTAATGACTCCAGAGACAGGTTGTCTATCCAGTAGGAGTCTGAGATTGGGCAAATGTTTTGTATTTGTGTTTTGATACACACATGTTAACAGAGTTAAAGTCAGAAGACACCCTGGAATCTTGTTCTGCCCTTATCCAGCATCTCAATTCTATGGATATTTTTACTTTCCTTTTTACTATTTCATATGTTCTTTGGAAACTTTAAAATTTGTATTTATATTCCTTTTTTTTTCTGAGATGGATCCTGTTTTCCCATTACTGGACACAATCTATGATACCCAACATTTATAAGAGAAGAAGTTTTAATTTAGGTCATGTTTTAAAGAGGTTTAGTCTATAGTCAGCTGAACCTCAAACATCATAGTGCATTACCATGCACTTCCATAGTCTATGGCAGCTGAGAAGCACAGCAAAGAAACAGTGCCAGGAAGGAGGCAAGAAGTCATGGACCCAAAGGCCATCTCTCCATAACCTACAAAGACACACCCAAAGTGTGCTTCCCCAGTCATCTGGGTGGATCCTAAAACCAGTCAAGTTGACACTCTACTTGAAGCACCGTAAATCCTACTTGGAAGTATCACATTTTTATATGAATATGGTTGTTGTCAGATATTCTCTAAGGGTTCTTAGATAGTCTCTTAAAGCTTCATTTTAAATGAGTTTTGTAATAAGTTTTGTATTAGAAAATAGTTAGAATTTTAATTAAGGTTTCCTTGTGTAGTCTGTAGTTGAGTAAGGGAGAAGTTATTATGATCCAAATGTCTTCTTCTATCCTTCATCTCAACACAGTCACAGAAAAGAAACTGAGGAAACAGAAAAAAGTTAATGCTCTTCTTTTTTATGGATATTTTTAGCATTTAAAATGTCATGTTGTTATATCAATCTATAAAGGTACCATGTTGACCAGCCAAAGATGTTATCTGAAGAGACTTTACAGATTGCATATGAAAACAGTACATATGAAATATGTATTTTTTCATTCCAAAATATAAGCTATATTTTAAATACTTCTTCCAAACTGTTCTCCCAAGAAATGTGTAACTCTGAAAAATTATTGCCATAAACTTTCTGCCTTCCTCCCCGCTTTATCCTTTTTCCTCCTACTGTCTTTCTGCTGGCAACTGAATCTAGGAACCTGCACATGTGCTGTATGACAGAATTATACTCCATTGGTGTAAATTTTAAAAGTAAAAATCCAAAATTCTGCTATATATCAATTAGAGTCTTCTAAAAGAAAAACTAAATGACTGTCACTATTGTGACATTGAAGGAGGAATCACAAATCTCAGATGCAGTAAGATTCGTATATAATAAAAGTTTCTTTGACAAAGCAGTAGTCTGATGGAACTAAATTTTTGTTTCCTGCTGAGAAGTGTATATGATTGCTACTCATGTTGGGTTAACCTTCACTTCCTCCTCTTTGGTGCTGGGAGGAAGAATGCCAAAAGAGAAGGAATGTCCATTTTTGCATATGTATGTTTCTTTGTTGTTTTAAAGGTAGCTGAAACTGCTGTGGTGTGTATTTTAGACTGGATGAAAATGTCAGATCTGTCTTTTCCTTCTTTCCCTTCTTATTTCTTAAAAGATTCAAATAAGCTAATGGGAAATACTAAGATATCAATAAAGTTTCATAGCTAGGTGGATGATGAGCTGGGAATTCTCCAAGAAGATATTGGTTATTTACTTATTTAACCAACTAGGATGTGCTGGTAATCTCTGTCTACATTCAGGCGTTGATCAAGCCTGTTCTTTTGATACAGGGTAGGACTGGAAGATTCCAGTGGACTCATGATATTGAGATACATGTCCTATCTTTCAGGTCAAAAGATGAGGAGTAATCATTCACTGAAAATACACAGGACAAATAGCAGTATTCACAGAGACAAAACAGTTTGTAACTTGCCCAAAAAACCAGTCACTCTTTCTCAAAATAGGGCAAATCATTAACCATAATGAAAAACCTTACTAATGTATAACCATTAAGGTTTTGGTCTCAGTGGATCAGCTAGTGGACCTGTTTCTCTACTGTGTAAGTGATATAAATAAATAGTTTGTCCATAAGGAGTTCAAAGAAGAAATGCTCTGTCTTAAAAGAGGAGATGAGCTTTCATTTTCTTTCTTATTTGTAGCTTGCCTCTGAGTATGACAGGTAGATTTAGCCTTGGGCAGAATATTCTTCTCAGCTTCATTCGTTCTGTGCTATGACTAATAGCTTTTTCTTATATCCACATCAAGAATTGAAATTGCTTTAGGAAACAACGTTCCACATCTCTAGTGAACTGCTTATCTTTCTTGAAACTGAGTATATTTATCATACTGTCATTCTTATGTATTTTCTGATGTAATAGAGTCACTGGGGTTATTAGTTGCTTTAGACTGGATGATGAGTATCATAGACCACTTAAAAGAATGCTGTGCAGAACAGCCAAATTGACTCATTTCATCCAAAAAATGAATATGTGTGTGTGTGGTGGCTCCAGAGAGTTTTAAACGCAGTTAGTAGATAAGCCTATTTTACTGCCTTCTCTGAAATAATCAAACTGAAAATTTGTAAGTCAAAGCAATGCATTTTTATGTACAGATAATGCACAAAGCTTGAGGCCTCTGGAAACTGCTTAACTGTGAGCAAGGAAAAAGTAATGGGACTTGATAAGCACTTTAGAAAGTTTCAGTCAATGGGCAACTCCTGCTGCCTAAACACTTGAAGCAACAGGCTTTCCACAGTTGTTCTTTGCGATTCTCAGCTAGGCTTTTCATTTTGACATACTGCATTAATTCCTGTCTTAATCTCAGAACCACAGATGGCGAAGAGAAGATGGCTCCACACATGAGAACAGACTTATTTCAGACTCTTGGGCAGCATTGACTATCACTTTTAGAGCTCAGTGCAAAATGAAAATGGGCCTTCATTCAAAACTTATTAAAAACTTCAAGATTGTAATAGTAGAGCTTTGAATTGTGCACAAGACTCTTCTAGGCATGAGTCCTTTGTGACTGCAGAGGTTGTTTTCCTCCATGCCCCAGAAAGCCTGGGTTTTGGGTCTGGAAATATAAGACAGAGAGGGATAGAGATGCTTTCAATCCACACAGTTTGAAAAGCAATGATAGAACGAACAATTTGTTTGTGGCATCTAAGAATATTTACATGTTAAGTAGCATTTACTTTTGAAAGGCCAGAGAGACCATAACCCACGCAAGGACAATGGAGACACTGCCACGAAGAAGAAGTTTATTTGGCACAGGGGAGGGGTCACCTCGTGGACAGAGAGCGACCCCAGAGGTGGGGAGTCATGGGCTTATAAGTCTGAAAACCACATCCCAGGGAATGGGCTCACAGGCCAAACAGCTGTCCAGAGAGGCACATCAAGTACATTTTTGGGGTGGAGTGTGAAAACCAGAAATCTCTCTGTGGGCACTGTAGTTCTCTGGAAAGTAAGCAGGTGTCTTTGTGGCCAGTGTTGCCAACTGTCTTTGTGGCTGATTTTTGTCTTTTTGCTTCTGTGAAAGCTTGTGGACGTAGCTTAACTATGTCCTCTAACAGACTGTACCCTTTAACCTCCTCCTCTCCTCATGCAGAAGCTTGGTGCCCTTTCAACTTTATCCAAAGCACTGTAATTGGATACCTGGTATCCTGGAAATAAAGTGCTAACTTTGAAAATGTAGTGCAATGATTAATACCCAGATTTGTTATAGAAATTTCCTGAAGCTACATATTTTTAGGTATTTTTTTGCAAATAGAACTAGATTGGCCAATTGACATCAGCATACATAGTAAAGGGGCTGGGGATTTAGCTCAGTGGCATAAGTACTTGCCTTGCAAGCAGGTGGTCATGAGTTCAATTCCCGGTACTGATAAAAAAAAAAATACATAGTAAAGTTTCAGGGATCCAAAAAAGATATTCTGTCTCTCACTGAGGTCCCAAGGTGGGCATCTTGGTTACTTTTCTCTTGGTGCTGAGACAAAATACCTGACACCCAAAATTAAAGAAGGAAAGGTTTATTTGGCTCAGTTTGTGGAGGTTTCAGTCCATAATCAGCTGGCTTGAAATCAGAGTGGCATGCACAGGAGTAACACTTCAAAGAGGCAGAAGACAGAAAAGCAACAAGGGCAAAAGACAGGGAGAATGACCCTCTACTCCTCCTTTACTTTGTAAGCAAGGTACCTCCCTACCAGGGTGGGTGTAACACTCACATCACCTCCTCTTAGATAGGCTGAGTAAGGGTCCTGGCTCCCTGCTGAGTCTCCTAGTTAAATTTTTAAACTTCTCAAATTGACACACTGTATCAACCATAACAGTGGATAAGAACAGCATGTTCTCCTTTATGACATGGTAGAAACAAACTCTGCTTGAAGAGTCATACTGGGTGGCTCCAGGAGTTTCCTGTTTGTGCTAGCCAAGGGGCCAGGTTGAACTATGGAAGCATCAACAACCCAGTCCCAAAAGTTTATTTTAGGTATAGATGAAATTATTGGACTCCTTTCAGAAGCATAGTTAAGAGTTGGGGTGGAGTAAATGTTGTATTTATTGATTTGGACCTGGGTTGCTTTCCTCAGAGCTCTGAAGTGAAGATCCTCACAACACTTGGAAGAGATGAGAAAACCTCGCCACGTAAGATTTGGTGTGTGGCAGGGTGACTTCTTATGCCTCCTTTATTATAAATTATGTTTCAAATCTGTCCTTTGGCTGACTAATTTTACATAATTGGTCTACTTTTAATGAATGGACTGTGACAGTGGAGAAAAAAATATTAAAGTAATGATGACTTCTATGAAGCCATGTTTTAGATCAGTGGGGGCAAACCTATGGCACAAATGCCCCAGCAGGCTGTTCTCACTGGAAACTCAAAGGTCTGCCACCATTGTTCGAGAAGCATTGCAAAGCTAGTAAAAGAATGTTACTGGTTCTTTTCATCATAATACAAAATGACGGGCAAAAATAAAAATATAATAGGTAAAAATTAAATGTAATATTGAAGTTTCTCCAGTCTTTTAAGCTCCATAAGAACAGAGGAGATAGCATGCAATAAGCATACATGGAATGTTTCTCAACAGAGTAGTTTAGAGACAGCAGCCTTTTTATACTCATGAAATTTAACATTTGTGGGGTGACTCATATACAATTTTGTTTATATAATATTCTGTATATATTACAAATTTGGTTTATAGCATTATTCCACTTAGCTCTAAGAAAAACTTGGCTCAAAATCAAACATTTCAGTAAGGATTTTCCTCAGTACTATACAGTGATTCCGTAGTTGTACCATGATAATTCAGTGCTTTGAAAAATACCTGATTTTATCAAGCATCACAGAAGATTAAGAAACTAGGAGTATACAATAAACATTCTTAGAGTATATTAACTGGGGAATTTTTATTTGTCATCTCCCCTCTTGTCGCCCAGAAAAGTTAGAGGGTCCTCTGCCTCTGTGTTCTGATGGTAAGAAAAGCTGAATTTAGAAAGCAGCAAAGAAAGCATTAGCAACTATAGCACTAGAGGCATCTGCAAGCTGGTGTGGTACATTGTAGGGGTTCTGCAAGCAAAGAGAAAATAAGGGACACACATATCAAGGGTCAGCAAAATGGCTGTCATCTGATCAGCGTGAGCAACAGTTGGTATTGAGATAAAGAACAAAGAAATCATATTGCACATGCTTTAGATTACATAACGTTTTGCTTCTTGTCCTTACAGGACCTCATGTTTTTATCTTGGTGGGGGAGGTATTTCAAAGCCTGTACTTTGTACCAAGACACTGTCAACCAGATGTGTCTGGGACAAAATGGAGTCAGTGTGGACTCTCTACCTCTTCCACTTTTTTCTTTATTTTAGGTTTTCTTACCACATTAGAAGCCGGTATTTTAGGTACGAAAATTTTGTATAAGGTTGGGATGCATTGTACAAGGCATCCCATACCAATTAAACAGATAAGGACAGTAATACCATAAAGAAACTTTTTTTTAGCCACTTGATGTCTGGTATCCATCCCATAAGGAAATTCCATAATCCAGTATTGAGTCCTTGGGACACATGTATCTGTTAAGTTCTCGTAAATCATGAAGCTTCTCATTAATGGATTTACTTTGATCTGACAAATTAAAACAGCATATTCGAGCAATTCCAATGCACCCATGATATGTAACAGAAGTAGATAATCAATTATGGTATGATTATCTAAAATCGCTTGTCAGTGTTCAGTTTGTTTTTTGTTTACTAATACCAAATCTGTGGAAGTGTAATTTTTTTTTGCCACAAGACAGGCTAATATATTTAACACTGAGACTGGCCTTGGCTACTAGGGTGGATATGCCAACCAAATGAATACCTAAACCTTAAATTTCTGTTTTGGTTAGCAGGCTAATAGAAGAGTCCTCACATAGGTCAGTAAGACTAATTGTAGACCATTTGGTGCAAGACAGTGTATATTCAGGAAAAGGCAACAATATAGTAAGATGGCTCAGGCAGCATTTGGGTTACGAAATAAATTTGCAGGTATATAATTGAAGGTATATTCTTCACATGAAAAGAACCATCCAGCAGAGAAAGAAACATGTCTATTTCCATGTAATATTGGTTCATAACTAGGATAATTTCAAGTACTTTTAAGAGGGTAAAAACATCAAGTGGTACAATTTTCAACATGAGCACATGAGGCATTGAAAGTTACCACATATAGAGTGAACATTTTAAAAGCATTATCAGGTTTTTTTAAAGGTGGGAATACCCCAATTTGGAAAGTCAGCATATGTTACAATTTTGTTTGGAATAGTGGAAAAAATGGTGTAATTACTTAGAAAGACAGGGTCTTTGGATACCAGATTCAAACAGGACTTAAGAATGTATTTTATTTCTATCTTTTGATAGATAGAAATGAGAGACATTAGCTATTTTTTCCAAATAAACCTAAATAATGTATTTCAATTTTTTCTTGAGGTCATAGGACTTTAAGGTCCCCGTGGAGGGCTGCAAAACATATAGGAACAGAATGCAAACAAGCATAAAAGAGTTCATTGTCAATTTGGTAAACACCACCACAAGAAGCTTTTTAGGAGTTGGTTCCTCTTTAGAAGCATGGGGAGAGTCTTGTGCAGACTGGATCAGCACCTTCATATCACCCCAAGTCACTGGCTGAGCAGTCATCATCCTGGGTCACTTCTGAGGTGACCAGGCTTGATTCGGAGAGAGGTGAAACTGTGGAACTGGGTTGTTCAACCTGTGGTGCCAACTCATACCATGCAGGGTGAATTCAGTGAGCAAGAATCCACACAGAACCTATTGGAGATAACACAGAAGCATCCCCTTCTTCTCCCCAGGCCAGCAGGGGCATTTTGAAAGAAATGGAGCCAACAAAATCAGTCAAAGTGACTGAGAAACAGTAGAGGACAGCAAAAAGAAGTCAGCCTTGATAAGTGGTAAAACAGCATCAGTCAGGTCAGTTCCAAGTTCAGATATGTCCTCAAGAGATAAGAGAGGAAATAGCACAAATTAATAATAGGAAATAAAGTACTGTCAGGTGAGTGGCGTAAATGTAGTCATTTAACAATAAATACCTTGTTGATCTGGATGGCAGGAGCACCTGTGAGCAAAGGAGCTGAGTGAAAAGTGAGTAAGAAGAGAGGGCAGTCCTTTGGGCCTGATCCCACCGTAACTGTGGTGAGTGTGCGAGCAGTGCTCTGAAGGGCCTACAGTAGAGAAGGAGAATCAGAGATCACATCAGCAGCATCTGTGTGACCCCATAATGCATCAAATAGAGGAGCTAACTGTTGAGTGTCACAGGAAAATAGGGCCTTGCCCACTTAAGGTCGTGATAGCAGAAGTGGCACATCTGGGAGGACCTGGAGTCCACCATGTGGTGTTCCCTCTGTTCACTGGCCAAATTTTACAACAGCATTGCGACAGGGATAGGAGCACAAGGCTCCTCATGCAGCAGTTTGCCTATCTTTCCCCAATCCTCCATAATGAGTGTTCTTCCTTCAGGATACTGAGGACAATAATCATGAATTTTTCACAAAAGTTGTAATAATTATGCTCAGGGGCAACGTTGCCCATCTTCTTGAGGAGAAAAAGCAGTCATGCTTTACGTTTCTGTTGCACGTCAGACAGGGAATTCCCCATGACTTACCTGGGGATTTTCCAAAGAAAATGAAGTAGATGCAGATTGGAGGTCGTGTTCCATCCCAGGAACACAGCAAAGGCAAGTGACCCTTCACAGCAGATTTTCCTCTGTTGAGTCCCTGTGTGGGCACCAGATGTAGGGTTCTGCAAGCAAAGGGAAGATAAAGGTACACCAAGGGTTAACAAAATGGCTGTCCCCTGGCCATGGTAAGCAAGCAGCTTGTATTGAGATAAAAAATAAAGAAACGCATATTGCACATGCTTAGATTATGTAACTTATTTGCTGCTTGTCCTTATAATAAGGACCTCATGTTTTTATCTTGGAGAGGTGGGAATGTTTCAAGGCCTGCACCTTCTACCAAGACACTGTCCACTGGGTGTGTCCAGGCCAAACTGGAGTCGGTGTGCATCTTTACAGCACATATTTGAGGGGAAGTGTCTTTATGGTCCCCTTGAATTTTCCTATATTTGTAGATGCCAACTCTGCTTCTTTTTGACAAAAACACACAGAAGGATGTAGCAGCAGGACAGCTTGCTGAACAAACCTGGCCACTGAATATTGCAGTTAGTCTTTCAAGTTAGCATTTTAATTTCTGAGATATCAAGTACTCTATTACAGTTTTTTGAGTAAAATAAATGTTATTTTAAGGTTGTTGTATATTTGTATAAAGACTGAAACATGTGACTATCATAGGTTAGGTTAAAATAGGGTCACAATAATACAGAACAAACCTTCTTTTCAGGTAAGATTAGAACTGATAATTGGATAGTTAACCTCAAAATTCATTAACATATTGAATCATTTAAAAATAACACATATGCGTATGTATTATATCTTAACTTAAAAATTAATGCACATTCACTGGACAATGTGTTTATTATGTAAGTCTTTCAATGGGTTCAATTTGCTAACCTTATATAAACATTATTCATAATATACTTTCTATGGTTGATAATACATGCTCTATGGTTGATAATTTAGTTCGATTTATCCTGCAGCTATCGTCCAAAGGCACTTCCAAAGCCATCACATATACTTCTAGTCTTTTACAAATTTTCTCTGATTTTTTTTCACAATTGCCTTACTCCATTTTGCTTCAGAGTTTCTCTTTTTGATGATATAATTTTATTAATCTGTGGATTTTAACTTAATCTTCCTAGAAAAATTGTCTTTCTTTCTCAATTAGTGGAAACTAATATCTGAATTTAAAATACTGAGGACAATTGACATAAGGAGGTTTCACACAAATGCAGTGAACATTTGATAAACAAATATACTCAGATGATAAGGGCAGATATACACAGAAGTTGGTTTCCTAGTTGTTGACGTTTAGCATACAATCGGTGTTTGGTATGTTGTATGGAGTTCATCAGTTTGGATTGTGAATTGGTTAAATGGAGATCATTAAGAAAGCTCTTAGTATAGTAGCAACTCATGGTTTTCTAATGCTCATCTTCCCTTGATGTTATGGCATCCTCAACTCCTTCATGCCTTGCACTTATTTCTGAGAAGCTCCAGGAAGATGTTCCACCTGCTCACAAGTGAGTCCTTTAATTCTCCTTAAACACTGTGGCCGTCAGTTGGTCTAAGCCTCATGAAAACAGCATCCTTTAGATGGCAACCAGTAGTCTGCCCTCTGCAGCACAGGGCATCGTGACTGGAAACCACTGTTGTTTTGAGAGGGAAGAAATTTCATTCCCTAAATGTAACCAGCCCTTTCAGATCTGCCTGCCTGCCTTCCCTTCCCCTTCTTTCTCTCTCTGTCCATCCGTTCCTTCTGCCCTTTCTTCTTTCCCTCCTTAAGTTTCTTGAATTAAACATAACATAAGCATGTATGGGGGCAAGGCCAGCTTAGTCACATTTTCGATGTTAACAGGATATTCTATTAATCACTCCTTTCCCTCTGACAACAGGCAGTTTCATAGGGATAAAGCTTCATATCTGATCCTCTGTTGTCTTAGGAGGATTTCTTTCCCAAGAAACACCTAAATGCTTCATGGAAATGGAGTCCTGACAAATCCAGTCTTCCAGACATTGCCTAGATATGGGCACAAATCTCAGACATTTGTCAACTCTCCTGAGTTCCTTCTTCATTATTAGCTACAGCTGTATCCATCATGGTAGCATTTATTATGTGTGCTGAATATCAACCTCAGCACTCCACAAGTACTATTTCATTTAATCCTCATAATCCAATGAGAATATACCTTTATAATTCCAATTTCCAAGAAGGGAAAACTGTCCGAGTAATAAGATATACAAATAGTAAGTAGTGAAGTTAGGGCTGGGTTTGTCTCTTTAATCACTATGTCAACTATTGTCCAAAAGAGAGAACACAGATCCTCAGGAATCATGGCTCACAAGGACAGAGCAAGCTGTTAAACGGTAATAACCTCACTTGTAGCAACACTTGTGTTTGTCTTCTGCTCTGTTAGGGTTGTGGTTTCTCCAGGATGATGCTGTCCAGAAAGGGAGGGTATAGCTGAGAAGGGAGAAGGAAAGTGTGGGTTAAAACTATGGTAGGAGCTGCAATTCCCACTTTATGAGTTTGTCAGTGTGGAAGATGATAATAGATGTATTTGACGATTCTATGATAATTCATTGACATCTATTTATTCTGTTTCTGTACCTGCATGAAACAGAGTATGCTTAATCTTGTGATAGGTCAGGACAAAAAAAGAACTATGCAAGGGAGATCTTTTGTTTTTTCTCCAGTTACAATTTTCTTGTTAATGAAACACAAGACCTTCTTTCAGGAAAAACTTCTTCTAAATCAAAAGGTTTTTGTCCAAGTTCACTCTTTAAGGGTAACTCCTTCAACATAATGTGTTACCTGTAATGAAGTACATACAAGTAATTAGGCAATGTTCTGTTTCTTCATGTAACAACTTCTTAAGCTTTTGGGATACCACTTAGAATTAGTATCTTTGCCTTTCCACTGTATTGATTCTTAAAGTTTTTAAAGTACAAGAATAGAAATCCTCCATTTTTCAGATTGAAGTAGATAGAAATGGTTTGCTTTCAAATCAGTGTTTCCTAACCTTGACTTCAAAGTTCTTTCTGTTATACTGCATTGTCTTCAATGCCATTGATCAGTGGATTAATGAATTTCTGTAAATATGAATTCTTAAATACTCAGAATGCCTGTGGAAGAAGAGATTGTTGTTCCTTGCTGATTTTTTTTTGTTTTGTTTTAAATGAATAACCTCAAAAGTAACAGTAACGTTTGTTACATTTCTCTGTCCCCTCCTATGTGTAATTTTAGTTCAAATCACAGATCCCCCATCCTCCTAGCATATTATGGAGATTTGGTATATGGAAGCAATGCAGATTAAATAAAATGAAACTAGAGGCCATAATTTGTTTTATTAATTGGTACTACTTTGGGAGTTGATTTTGTCATGCACCTCTGATAAGAGCCCTTCAGCTGTTTCAGAATTATTGATCTGGAAGGTCACTTTTCTAAGCTGTCAGTGTCAGTTGCCTTTCTTATTTGACTGAAGTAATCAGATTACACAGATTTGATGACTAAACATGTTTATGTTATGCCTATGTCAAGGAACTAATAATTTTTGTTTTCTGTCTTGCAGTTCAACTATAAATTCAATGGCCCCAGTGCATTTCAAAACAAAATAAAAAAAAAGCTTAAGGAAAGTATAACATATTAAAAAGTTTCTTTTAGCCCATCAAATAACAAAACACTTAGGATTTCATTTCATTTTTCAAGTAACTGATTCATCACAGTAAATAATAACAACCGTTAATGTGTTTTCTCATATTTGGGAAATGGATGGAGTGTGCCTTTGATAGGATTACAGCTGCTTTCTCCCACTTATGTAATCTTTCCTCATCTCTGTTCTGCATGATAGTCCAAAACATTTCAAGTTTTCTTTAAAACCACTTGGACTGGATTAGATAGAAGACATGCTGATTAAACTGAATACGAATAACCCATTGTTTATAGTGCCACCTTGTGGTCTTGATCCATTACTGCTGCCCATTTAGTAGGGACCGCAGGCCCCAATGAGGTCAAATTCAAAAACTTAAGAAATGTGAACCGGGAGAGGAAGGGGGTTTGGAAGCAGGATGAGGGAGGGGAAGGAATCAGGATATATCATATACAGATTCAAATACCCTATAATGAATGTGGTCATTATGTATACCTTAATTGTACCAATAAACTTTAAGAAAAATAAAAAAGTATTAGCAGAGTGCAGTAACACATACTTAATCCCAGCACTGGGGAAGCTGAGGCAGGAGGATCACTGTGCATTTGAGGCTATCCTCGGCTTCATAGTGAACTTAAGGCCGGTGTAAACTACACAGTGAGACCCTGTCTAACCACCCCCACCCTGTCGCCCCAAGAGTGTATCCTTAATATGTGTAATTCTTTGTTTTAAATCACTAGCTGCTTAGAAAATTGTGGTAAAAACAAAGTATAATTAAAAATGAGAAAAGAATGGAACAAATTTTCCCTATGTTAATTAATGTTGCTAAAGGAACACTAGCATTTTAAAATTACATTTTTTATGATTAATTTTTCAGTATAAGAAGAGGTAGCTCTGCACTTAAGCTCTCAAGAAGTTACAGTTTTCAGTACTTTTAGAATGTAAAAAATTAGGTGTTTGACATTTTACCTTGATAAATTATAAAATATTTAACCCATTCCTCTTCTCTAATTTTTGTTTTTCCTTTCACTTGGGTATGTGACTCTTCTCTGCCACATGTTCTCCTCATGGGAGATCATTAAGTGCATTTGGATTTTTTTTTTTTTTTTTTTTTTTTTGGTCTTTTTCCTTTTTATCGGTACCGGGGATCGAACTCATGACTGCCTGCTTGCAAGGCAGGCGCTAATTGCCGCTGAGCTAAATCCCCAGCCCCCATTAAGTGCATTTGAAAGAAGGCAGACCAACACAGCACTGAAGGGTAAACAAATGAAAGTGCTCTGCATCTCACTGGCCTTTACTCTCTATTCAGTCCTACTTTTATTTATGTTAACTAATTTGGAGCCCTTTTTAGGTATATAAGAACTGCAGCAGTGTTAAGATATCAATGCATTGTAGTATTTTCTAGCTTACAGTGTTACCATGCATCATTTTGCAAAGCATAAGTAGAAGTAGAAATCAATAAGTTGGATG